CACGAGTCGGGGGCTTTTCGACAGCGTTTTACTTTTTTTGGTCATTTTTTGTGGCCATTTTTTTCTAGCATGCCTAAAAAAATGTAAGGATCGTGTCTGCAAAATTTCATTATTTTTTATGTTATTTTTATTTTATTATATTTTTTAAAGGCAAACAATAAAGAAAATCATAAAAGGTAGAATATTCATCGAACAATGTTGCTGTTTGTTGCATTAATTCTTAAAAATCATATATTAATTTTTGAATGGAAAACATAAATAAAATGTAAATTTTTGACTCATCGCGGTCGTTGAGCTGCCCTTGGGTGCCCCACCACACGAGCTGAGGGCTTTTCGACAACATTTCACATTTTTGTCATTTTTTGAGGCCATCTTTTTCTGGCATGCCTAGAAAAATATAAAGATTGTGTCTGCAAAATTTCACTATTTTTTATGTCGTTTTTATTTTATTATATTTTTTGAAGACAAAAAATAAAGAAAATCATAAAAAATAGAATATTAATCAAAAAATTGTGCCGCTTGTTGTATTAATTCCTAAAACTCATATATTAATTTTAGAATATAAAACATAAATAAAAATGTAAATTTTTGACCCATCCCAGCCCCTGAGCTGGCCCCTCGGCGCCCTACTACACGGGTCGGGGGCTTTTTTACGTCGTTTTACTTTTTTTTGTCATTTTTGGACGCCATTTTTTTTGGCATGCCTAGAAAAATGTAAGGACCGTGTCTCCAAAATTTCATTATTTTGTTACTTCATTTTTATTTTATTATATTTTTTAAAGACAACAAATAAAGAAAATCATAAAAAAATAGAATATTCATCAAACAATGGTGCCACTTGTTGCACTAACTCCTAAAAATCATATATTAATTTTAAAATGTAAAATATGATTAAAAATATAAATTGTTTACCCATACCGGTCCCTGAGCTGGCCCCTGGACTCCCCACTACGCGGGCCGGTAGCTTTTTGACAGCGTTTTACTTTTTTCATCATTTTTTGAGGCCATTTTTTTCTGACACGCCTAGAAAAATGTGAGGATCGTGTCTGCAAAATTTCATTAGTTTTTGACATTGTTTTTATTTTATTTTAAAGAAGAAAAATAAAGAAAATCATAAAAAAATAGAATATTCATCAAAAAATAGTGCCGCTTGTTGCATTAACTACTAAAAATCATATATTAATTTTAGAATGCTAAACATAAATAAAAATATAAATTTTTGACAAAACCCGGCCCCTGGGTGCCGCACTACGCGGTCCGGGGGCTTTTTGATAGCGTTTTTCTTTTTTTTGGTCATTTTTTAGGCCATTTTTTTCTGGCATGCCTAAAAAAAATGTAAGGACTGTGTCTGCAAAATGTCATTAATTTTTTACTTAATTCACAGTGATGTTTGGGGACCTTCTAGGGTTACCACTGTTTCTGAAAAAAAAAATGGTTTGTGACTTTCATTGACGATCATACTCGTTTGTGTTGGGTTTATTTAGTGTATGAAAATTCTGAGGTTAAAACGTTATTTATAGATTTTTACATGATGATTGGAAACCAATTTCAAACAAAAATCATCATCCTTCATTCTGATAATGGCACTGAATACTTCAATGAGGTTTTAGGGAATTTTTTAAAAGAAAAAGGTATTTTTCATCAATCCACTTATGTTGATACTCCACAACAAAACGAAATCGCCGAAAGCAAAAATAAACATTTACTTGAGGTTTCTCGTGCTATCATGTTTTCAATGAATGTTCCAAAATATTTGTGTGGAGAAGTTGTTTTAACAGCATCCTATTTATTTAATAGAATGCCAACTCGTATTCTTAACTACACTGCACCTCTTGAAAGTTCTAAAAAATTATTCCCTGAAACTTGGATTCATTCCAATCTTCCTTTAAAAGTATTCGGATGCACTGTTTTTGTTCATTTACCTAATAGACTTCGGTCTAAATTACACCCACGAGTTGAAAAATGTATTTTTGTTGGTTATGCACCGAATAAAAAAGGGTACAAATGTTTTAATCTAACTACGAGAAAATTGTTTATCAGCATGGATGTCTCATTTGTAGAAAATCATCCTTATTTTCAGAAAAATTTTCTTCAGGGGGAGAAAGAGAGTAGTGAAGAAAATTTTTGGGAGATTTCTAACAAAATTTCCTTACCTAATACTATTATTTTAAATACCTCTGATTCTTTCAAACTAGGCAATGATGTTCAAGATTTGGGAAACCTAGAATCCCCTAATACCAATATGCCGAGCCTTACTGTTTCTCCAACAGGGGGAGAAATCCTACCTATGGCTCCACAAAAACCGAACTCTGAGCTTCAGGTTTATTCTAGAAGAAAGAATCATAAAACTAGTAGAGAACTAGCTATTGTCTCCACGCAAGGCCAATCAGAACTCCCGAACACTGATTCACTGGTTATCCAAGGTACTCAGAATTCTAACTTACCTACAATTACTTCCACTATTTCTGATCACACTAAATCATCAAGCCAAGTCCCTTTAGACCTTGATATTCCCACAGCCATTAGAAAGGGAACCCGAACATGTACTCAACATCCTATTGCCAAATACCTATCTTATAAAAAACTCTCCCATAGACATAAAGCCTTTACCTCAAAAATATCACATCTGTTTGTTCCAAGGAACATTCAGGAAGCACTGGATGACTCGAATTGGAAATTAGTAGTGTTAAAGGAGATGAATGCTCTTAAAAAGAGTGGAACTTGGGTGGTAGTCGATTTTCCCCAAGGAAAGAAGATTGTAGGGTGTAAATGGGTTTTCACTATTAAGTGTAAAGTTGATGGTAGTGTGGAAAGGTACAAGGCAAGACTTGTGGCGAAAGGATTTACGCAAACACATGGTATTGATTATCAGGAAACGTTTGCTCCTATAGCGAAGATCAATTCTATCCGAGTCCTATTGTCTCTGGCTGTTAACTCTAACTAGCCATTACATCAGTTAGACATTAAAAATGCCTTCTTAAACAGAGACTTGGAAGAAGAAGTATTTATGAGCTTGCCACCTGGATTTGAAGGAAAACATGCTAAGAACAAAGTATGTAGACTAAAAAAGTCATTATATGGCTTATAACAGTCTCTAAGGGCGTGGTTTGAACGTTTTGGAAGAGCTGTAAAGGGGTATGGATATCGACAAAGTCAGGCGGATCATACTATGTTCTTTAGACATAGTGAGAACGGGAAAATTGCAGTGCTGATAGTTATGTGGATGACATAATTCTAACAGGTGATGACTTAGAAGAACTAGCCAGATTGAATACGAAACTTGCTGAAGGCTTCAAAGTTAAGGATCTAGGAGTCCTAAAGTACTTTCTCGGGATGGAATTTGCCAGGTCAAGAGAAGGAATTTTCATGAGTCAACGAAAATATGTACTCGATCTACTCGATGAAACAGGTTTACTTGGGTGTTGATGACGGGTATTTCCACCAACAAATCAAGTACTTTTAAGCTTGAATATTTGTAAGTTTTCAAGCATTATTGTTAGTTTAATGTCTTTTGTATGCTTTTTATAGGAATTAAAAATAAATGCGAACTTGGATGATTTTGCATGAAGAAAAGAAGAATATTTGCCCAACTTGTGAATCAATGGTAAGAGGAGGCGAAAGAGGATTTTAAGGCACAAAAAAGGAGGCTTTAGAATGCAAGAAAGTGGGCTACAGCGCGCAAAGGAAAGCAAAGTCAGAATGGGGCGCGCGCCCGCGCCCTGGCCCCCTGCGCGCGCGTGCCCTGGCCACCAGGCGCGCGCCCCACACCCAGGCACGCGCCTGCGCGCCCAGAGCTGACTTGCGCATTGTAGCGCGCCCAATATATGCCCCTGCGCGCTGCAGCGTGCCTCAGCCCCCAGCTGTGAGATCCTTCCTCCGAAAACGCGCGCTGCAGCGTGTTTTCACATAGGCTGCAGCGCGCGTATGAAACCCTAGCTCTGAAATGTTGTAGTATAAAAGAAAAGAGATGCCACTTGAGAAAGAGAGCCCGGAAAACTAAAGAAAACATCAAAAGGAGGCTGAAATCCTTCATCTTGGAGGTCCTTGGAAGCTCTTCAATGGATATTGGGTTTTATCTTCTTTCATCTATTTTTCCATGTTGAGCTAGACATTAAATCTAGGACTTGATGTAGTTTTATTTGAACTATGTTTTGAATATTTTGTTGATTGTTAATTTAATTTCATTTTCAATTCATTTATGTTTCTCTATGCTTAATGCTTCTAATTTATTTGGCCAATGAGTTAGATGGTTTTTAGATTGCGAATTTGATGCTCGAGAGAGATTGAGTTCTTTATCTAGATTTGAGAAACATAGTCTAGGCTGTTGTGAGACCGAGAGGAGATCAACAGTTAGATAATCAAATTAGGATTTAGGTCGTTGTGAGGCAGAGAGGCGATCAATATTCATATTTTCTAATTCTAAAGGCGAAGCTTAATTTGTGTTTAAATATTCATTTCGAATAGGGATATTATTTTGGGTATTTAAACACAATTTCTTGTGAGGCACTCGAGAGAGGTTGCGAGATGACGTTAGAGCCTTGATTAATGAATTGAACGGATTTGATTAGCGATTACATAATAGGATGAACATAGGAATAATAAAGCAAAATCAAGTCCCTATACCATTTGTGTATAGATACTTTATTTTTATTTTTTATACTTATTTTGTTTTAGTTCTTAATCATCATCTTATTAGGTTGCCTAGATAAAGTTAAGTTACAAATAATCACGGTACTTAACGGCTATTCTAAACCCAATCCCTGTGGAGACGATACTCACTCAGCCTATACTCAAAACTTGACACCGTACGCTTGCGGAAATTTATTATATAAAAAAATAATACGCATTAGGTGTAAAGCTGCAGACACTCCAATTGAAGCCAACTTGAAGTTAGAAGCTGCCAAACCCGAGAATATAGTTAATCGAGAAAGATATTAGAGATTGGTAGGTAGACTGATTTATCTACTCACACACATCCAGATATAGCGTTTGCAGTCAGTATGGTGAGTCAATTTATGCATTCTCCTGGGCAAGAACACTTTGATCCAGTATACAGAGTTTTGAGGTACTTAAAGGGTTCTCCGGGTAGAGGACTACTCTTCAAGAAACGAGAACATTTACAGGTAGAAACTTACACAGATGCTGATTGGGCAGGAAGTACAATAGATAGACGATCTACATCAGGCTATTGCACTTTTGTCGGAGGTAATCTTGTTACTTGGCGCAGCAAGAAACAAAATGTAGTAGCAAGGAGTAGTGCAGAAGCTGAGTTTAGAGCACTCGCCCATGGAATTTGTGAAGTTATGTGGATAAGAAGACTTCTTGATGATTTGAAGGTCACAGTATCTTCTCCTAAGAGTCTACTGCGACAATAAGGCAGCCATCTCAATTGCTCACAATCCAGTTCTCCATGACAGAACCCAACATGTAGAAGTTGACAAACATTTCATCAAGGAGAAACTCGAATGTGGCATGATTTGTATTCCATATGTATCTACTACTGAACAAGTTACAGACATTCTCACCAAAGGATTATACAAGAGACCCTTTGAAGATTTAAGAAGCAAGCTAGCTATGGAAGATATCCACCAGCCTGCTTAAAGGGGAGTGTTGAAATAGAGGATATTTACTTTAATAGTACCGGATTCTAGGAGATATGATAGGAATGTAATTAGGGATAGTCAATGACTAAGGATCCGAAAAGGACATTAGTGTACAACTATAAGTTTCCTAGTTTAGCTCCTTGTATATTTTTCTATTTAAACTAATGTACAGTACTATAAAAAAGAAATAACAATAAACTTTTCTTCCTTCCATTACCTGTGTTCGCCTATTCAAACAGACGCCCCCAATACCTTGGCGTCCTCGTCAACGTCGTTTATAGCGAAGTAGCGTTCGGATCTTCTCCATGAAACAACGACAATTCCAATTTCTGTCCCCTGTGTTCTCCCCGTGCTCACGGTCTCGCCGGTGATCTGTAACGGGGAGGCTCGTCCCTTCCTCTGGTCGGTTCCCTCCACGGGGGACTGAACCTTCCTCGAGCTGGTCCTACTGAATCCCTCCCTGGCGGAGTTTGGCCGTCCCGTGCCCGCCTCGGGGGTGAGAGGTCTTCCCCAGGTCAGTGTGCCGGTGGTGGGTGAGCGCGTGCCTGCCTCATCAAGAACTCCTCCAACCTCGTAATCGTAACCTGGATCCCTTCGATCTTGGATCCCATCGTGGCCATATTCCTCTGCATCTCACCCATTCTCATTCCCAGAGATTCAACCTCCCCTTGCAAACTAGGCACCAACTCCATGTTGTCTCTGATCTCCTGCAAAAAGTCTTGAAAGCTGTTCAACCTTCTCTCCACGGAAGCCACTCAGTCCGCCTGGTTCGCCATGGATCGTTTTGATTTGATACCAGATTGTTAGGATTCTGGTAATTTAGTAGGAAATTAACAACTAAATGAAGGAAATAACCAGAAGAAAGGTCTGGCTCCTGTTATTGCTATTGAAAATTTACTAAGAATTGAAAGACGGAGGAGAATTTGAGGACCCCTCCAGACCTCCTACAGACTCAATGGTTCACAATACAATTCTCGATGCCCCTATCTCTATTCCCATTTCTTATTTATTCTACCCTCCCCCCATAACAGACTCGTGGGATCCTCACATAATAGAATAAATCAGATGGAGAATGCATGTGTGGAGCAGCCACAAAACGCTCCTAATGTGCGTAGGAGGGAAAGATTTCAACCGACGGAAGTAAGGGTTGAAGATGAAGAGTATAATGGGGTTGGTTTTCATGAAGATGATGATAGGGATCCAATTGTTAATTATAGGAGATATGGTGGGAGGCATAGAGAAGCTAGGAACCGGGAAAATAATTTGGGAAGCATTAAGATGAAAATTCCACCCTTCCAAGGCAAGAACGATCCAGAAGCTTACCTAGAATGAGAGAAGAAGATGGAGTGGGTGTTCAAGTGCCAAAATTTTTATGAGCTTAAGAATATTAAGATTACTGCAATTGAATTTTCTGAGTATGTAATTGTATGGTGGGATCAATTGATGTTGAATAGAAGAAGCAACAGGGAGCCGCCAATTGAGACATGGGAGGAGATGAAAATGGTGATGAGAAGGCGATTTGTACCAAGCCATTACTACCATGAGTTGTACCAAAAATTGCAACGCCTTACACAAGAAAATCAGAGTGTGGAGGAATACTATAAGGAGATGAAAATCACTATGATCCGCGCTAATATAGAGGAGGACCGAGAGTCTACTATGGCTAGGTTCTTGGTTTGCTTGATCCGGGAAATTGCTAATCTGGTGGAGTTGCAGCATTACGTGGAGTTGGAGGACATGGTGCACATGGCCATCAAGATTGTGAACCAACTGAAGAGGAGGGATAGCACCACACGCCCAAACCCTAACTTGAATGTCCCATGGAGGCCAAATTTTGTGAGGGAGGAAGAGAAGCAAGTTACGGCCAAACCTAAGATGGAGCACAAATAAGAAGCAACCTGTAACGGCCCGCACCCCCACCTGGTATGATATTGCCCCCGGAACTCTCAGAACCCCCGGAGGGCTTTGAGTGTGCAAGCGAAGGAAGAAGATGACGTGCAACGGGATAACATTGTTCATACTAAGTGCCATGCTCAAAACAAGGTATGTAGCGTGATTATCGATGGAGGTAGTTGTACTAATGGTGATAGTACTACTATGGTGGAGAAATTAGGACTTCCAACAACAAAACACTCACAGCCCTACAAGTTGCAATGGCTCAATAATAGTGGAGAGGCAAGGGTGACTAAACAGGTGTTGATTTCTTTCCACATTGGGAAGTATGAGGACGAAGTTTTATGCAATGTGGTACCAATGCAAGCAGGACACTTGTTACTAGCCCGACCATGACAATTCCATTGGCGAGTCAAGCATGATGGATTCACCAACAAGTACTCATTTGAGCATAAACAAAGGAAAATTACTTTAGTTCCTTTGACTCCAAAGTAAGTCTATGAATACCAAGTAAGGTTGCAAAAAGAAAGTGATCAAAAGAAAGATAGTGAAAAGAAGAAAAAGAGTGAACAGAGAGAAAAACAGGGAGAGGCTGAAAAGATTGAGAGGGAAAAAGAAAGTTAAGAACCATGAGAGAAAAAAAGAGAGAAAACAAAATAATTTCTATGTAAAAGCAAGTGAGGTTGCTTTGTTTTCAAAGAAGCCAATGATTGTATTTTTGTAAAAAGAGACGTTTTTAAACACTAATGAGATTGACCATACTTTTCCTAGTTCTATTGTTTCACTTTTGCAGGACTATGAGGATGTCTTTCCCGAGGATACACCACACAGATATCTCATATCCGAGGGATTGAACATCAAATTGATTTTGTACCCTGTGCGACAATTCCAAATCAACCAGCCTAAGACAAAGGAGCTTCAACAACAGGTAAGTGAGTGTATGGAGAAAGGGTACGTGTGCCGTCCGGTTTTACTTGTACCTAAGAAGGATGGGACTTGGAGAATATGTGTTGACTGTCAAGCCATCAACAACATTACGTAAAGTATCAACATCATGTTCCTCGCTTAGATGATATGTTAGATGAATTGCATGGGGCTTGTGTGTTTTCAAAAATTGATTTGAAGAATGGATATCATCAAATACGCATGAAAGATGGTGATGAATGGAAACCTGCCTTTAAAACAAAATACGGTTTGTATGAATGGTTAGTAATGCTTTTTGATCTATCTAATGCTTCGTGCACATTTATGCGATTAATGAACCATGTATTGCGTGCATTCATCAGCATATTTGTCGTTGTTTATTTTGATGATATTCTCATTTATAGCAAAAACTTGGATGAACATGTTATGCTTTTAAATTCAGTTTTATATGTGCTTAGAAAAGAAAAGTTATTTGCTAACTTAAAAGAGTGCACTTTTTGCACCGATAAGTTTGTGTTTCTTGGTTTTGTTGTTAGCACACAAGGAATACAGGTTGATGAAGAAAAGATCCGGGCAATTCAAGAGTGGCCGAGTCCCACAAGCATAGGTAACGTACGGAGTTTTCATGGACTCACTAGTTTCTACTGGCAATTTGTGAAAAACTTTAGTACTTTGGCAGCACCACTCACTGAGGTAATAAAGAAAAACGTTAGCTTCAAGTGGGGTGAAGAGCAAGAGAAGGCGTTTCAGCTCATCAAGCAAACATGGACAAACGTTCCCTTATTATCTTTACCTAACTTTAACAAAACTTTTGAGATTGAATGTGATGCTTCCAGAGTAGGCATTGGCACTGTGCTTATGCAAGAAGGACAATAAATTGCGTATTTCAGTGAAAAGCTAAGTGCGGGAGCTTTAAACTACCCAACTTATGATAAGGAATTGTACGCATTGGTCCGGGCTTTGGAAACATGGCAGCATTACCTATGGCCCAAGGAGTTCGTGATTCACACTGATCAAGAATCGTTGAAACACTTGAAAGGACAACACAAACTGAACAAGATACATGCTCATTGGGTGGAGTTCATTGAGAAGTTAGCAAGGTAAGGAGAATGTGGTTGCAGATGCACTGTCTTACAGGTACGTTATAATTTCTACTCTTGATGCTAAATTGCTTGGCTTTGAACATATTAAGGAGTTATATCCTCCAGACCATGACTTTAGTGATGAGTATAGCGTTTGTGAAAAGACCGCCAATGGTAAGTACTTTAGGCACTAGGATTTCTTATTTCGGGAAAATAAGTTGTGTATACTAAATTGCTCTGTGTGGGATTTATTAGTTAGGGAAGCACATGGCGGGGGTTTGATGGGACACTTTGGGGTAGCTAAAACACTGTCCATTTTGCAAGAACACTTCTATTGGCCACACATGAAAAGGGATGTTGAGAGAATTTGTAGTAGATGTGTCACAATTAGGCAAGCAAAATCCCGAATGCAACCCCATGGCTTATATACACCACTGCCCATTCCTAATGAGCCTTGGATTGATATTTCGATGGACTTTGTGTTAGGGTTGCCTAGGACTAAATGTGGTAGAGATTCAATTTTTGTGGTTGTGGATAGATTTTCTAAGATGGCACACTTTATTTCATGTCACAAAACGAATGATGCTTCATATGCTGCTGATTTGTTCTTTAGGGAGATTGTGAGATTACATGGTATGCCTAGAACAATTGTTTCGGATAGAGATGCTAAGTTCTTGAGCTACTTTTGGAAGACTCTGTGGTGTAAGTTAGGTACTAAGTTATTGTTTTCTACTACTTGTCACCCACAAACTAACGGTCAAACCAAAGTAGTAAATAGGACTTTGTCTACTTTGTTACAAGCTATTATTAAAAAGAATATTAAAACATGGGAAGATTGTTTACCACATGTTGAATTTGCTTATAACCACTGTT